CAATGAGAATATTCACGATTTTCGTTATGTTATAACACGAAAGAATTTACTAAGTATGATAACCGAATTCAGTTAGTTGTGGTTGTAATTGTTCCTTATCCAGGGTACTGGCTTTAGTTCCGATGTATCGTACCACAGAAGAGTTTTCGTTTTTGTACATGTTTATCTTAACACCATAAAGTCACATCAAAGACGAGTATGGCTGTACAAACAGGCTAGAAAATGAATTTGCACATTATTCATTACAATAGAAACGAATTATTTAATGAATGCAGGGTATAAATTCCACTTTCAGATAAAAGATTACACTTGTGAGTGTACACCCTCAAAGTATACAACTACTTATATTCGCCCTACGGAAAAAAACACAATGGTTCGATAATGACTTCAGAAGAGATCGTCGCTCTAGAGACCGTTATCGAAAAAAGCATTACGACCTGGTAAAATGAGAGATTTCGTCAATCACAAAAGACACGTATATGAGAATATGCTTCAGAGGTATGGGGTAACTGTTGTCCAGAAAACCCGGAAACACTTGAAATTATTCAACAAAAGAAGCAGCTCATATTGTAGCAGGTCTTCCTAGATGTTCTTCAAGATCGAGTTTATATTTTGAGAAAAAGAATGGGGATCGCTATTTAACAGAAAAAAATCTAAAAAGCTTTGTTCAATTTGCAATATTGTTAATAGGTCATGGCCACCGTATTTACATGACGCATTACCACCCAAACTGCCAACTCTTAGCAGATATGAGTTACGAAATAAGAACAATATCAACAGACACCCAATGCAGTGGCTTCTATATATATTCATGTATACCTTTTTCAAGCAAACTATGGAATGAGTTACCCCCTGAATACAGAGGGGTGGTCAGGTAGTCCAGTGGTTAAAGCGTTCGCTCATCACGCCGAAGACCCGGGTTCGATTCCCGACAATGGTGTGGAGCCCATTTCTGGTGTCCCCCGCCGTGATAATGCTGGAATACTGCTAAAAGCGGCATTAAACCATACTCACTCACTCACTGAACACAGAAGTACAAGGGCATTGCCAAATTTGAAACAAATGAATAAAACAACTATAACAGCTCCGCACTTACACCCGAAGACACCCTGCATTGCCCTAAATGCATATCTTTTGAAAGTAAACTTAATGATACTCTTTCCTGCTCTTGTGGAACTCCGTGTGAAAACAGTACACACATTCTTGAATGTCCCAAATACTCTTTTCTCTGTGTGTGTGTGTGTGTGTGTGTGTGTGTGTGTGTGTGCCTTCATACAATTTGGCCCTCACTCTATGAAGGTTCAGACTTCAATGAACTCATACGAAGTCGGCGATAGTCAATTCTTAAATAAAAACAAAAAGACCCTTGCTTACAGAGAGATGAACGAAACACTATGAAATATATTTCTTCATTTTCTCAAGTTTCACTATGAGGGAAATCAATAAAATCATCACCCAAACACGTGACAAGAACATGGATGTGAAACTGAGCTATCGAGGGTTGGTGTGAAACAACATTCCTTGACTGGAAGCGATACGTTTGAAACAGGAAATTGTCGACTAAACTTAACAATCTTCGGCATAAAAATATTGATTGCACCTGCAGCGTTCTTGGCCGCTGGTTTTATCATTGCACTCTATCACTGCACCTTCTTCTGAGGCCCCACGATTCGCTGTGCAGAGTTGCGTCCGTTGGGCACGCCAGAAACCGATGATTGTAAATTCGAATTCCGGTTGGCCCCGATTATGTTTCTAGGTTTGGCAGCACCATACCCGTGCTCGTGGGTTTCACCGAAGTGGTAAACGTTTGAGACCTGCATCACTTAGGGCTTTCCTCCCACATTAAGCTGACACGCCGCGATATAACTGGAATACTGTTAAAAGCGGCGTCAAACACAACTCACTCACTCACTACCGGTACCCGTCACAAACACACCCAAAGCCAAGTCAATTGTTCATCAGAAAAAAGACACGGGAACATATGATACAAGTCAAAATAAAGACTTTTCATCGGACACAACTTTTGTCACTGATGCGTCAAATTTGGATACGTATTCCACATAGAAACCAAGAAACTGTAACCTTCATGAATTTTTTTTAGCAAGTTTCGTATGACGCTCTATGAAATCTTTGTAGTGAGAGCATGCTTAATTGTACCTCCAAATTTGTGGAAAGTCGACACCGAAGAATGGAGCTGTTTGACATTAAGGGAAAGCTGACGGTTGGAAAGTTTAAGTCGCCCCTCTTGTCATTCACAACCTCATTTGTCACATTCCTATTTGTTGTACAGCAAACTGGAGATTAATTAAAACAAAAGTCTTAGTATCCCTAAGAAGCTGAATGGATAAATCCACTGTTTTGAAGGGGCGGTCGGGTAGCCTAGTGGTTAAAGCGTTCGCTCGTCACGCCGAAGATCTTTCAACTCTTTCCAAAATTATATTCTAATAAAAGACCCCTATTTCTAATTTTGGGCCCTGTGCGCTTATTACGTCGAATACGGTATATTCAGATACAAAAATACAATAATCTTACGTACTAAGTAAGGATGGGATTTTATGGATGAACAACTTCTTTATTACAATTAAGAGCGACGTCTCGGTGTAGGTTCTAACACCGTTATCAAGCAAGTGATAAACAGAGTATGGTTGACAAGTATATATACAGGTAGGAGACAATGTTTACACAGTAGAGAAGATAACAGCTAAGGGGTCCTACACTCGATGGATGAACGTGGTGAGATTGCAGTAACATGGTTTTGGTTTATATCAGTGCCGGATAGTTATCTTGTTGTAGTAGTAGCCATAGCGGTAGGTGTCGTGGTAGTAGTAGCAGAAGAAGTTATAGTAGGATTTTTGTTTGTTTTCTGTTTAACGCCGCACTCAGCAATATTCCAGCAATATGACGGTGGACTGTAAGTTATCGAGTCTGGAGCAGACAATCCAGTGATTGACATCATGAGCATCGATCCATGCAATTGGGATACGATGACATGCATCAAACCAAGTCAGCGAGCCTTACCACCCGATTCCCGTTAGTCGCCTCTTGCAAACATGGGTTACTGAAGACCTGTTCTACCTGTATTTTCACGGGTCAGTTACAGTAGGAACAGTAGTAGTCTGATACAAAGTGCAGTGTCCCGTGCGTCCATTTGTTGTTACGAGGCAGTTCATAGCATTGTCGAACACAAGGGGTACTCTGTTGATTAATCGACACCCCACGCACGGCACGTGTGCGGGCGCTTCTGTTTAGGGCACATACAAAAACTCTAGAGTGTGTTTGGTGTTATATTGTTTACAAACGTAAACTTTCTTGCATTGGATATTTGTCGTCAACACTTTTATCTTTGTTCTAATACGTGGTATTAACAAATGTATTTCATGATACTCTTCTTCTTTTTTATCATATTGGGAACAATATATATTTGCAGCGAGTGGACATCTTCTGGGAAAACTCTGGACCAATGAAGCTGAAACTTCACGTTTGTTCCTGCAAATGATGACGCCTGGTTTTGTTCAAGATACGTTTTTGTGATAGTTTAAAATGTGCCCTGGATTTACCCTGGATTTGCCCTTTTAACTTCAACCATATTGAAGCTGAAAAATATTGCCAACACTCAGACATTCTAGTTCAAAATGTAATGAAATAGTGGTATGTGTGTGTGTGTGTGTGTGTGTGTGTATTTGATATTTTGACCTTCTCATCTTCTCCGAAGCCACACAACTGCCATATTGAAAAATCTATTTATGTCCATTACAAATTTGTACAAATGGAATCTTATGCCCAATGACAGATAATCGAGACTGAACATTCTCTAGCATTGACGTTTGACTTTTTGCATTGTTTTACTCAGTTTTCACATAATTATGACCATGTCAGTATTTATTATCTCAAAATACATATTTGGATAGTAAAACATTTTCTCCTCTGGATAAGAAGTGCCAGACTCACCAAGCACAAAAATTAGAATGAATGTTTCCCCTTATGATGATATTATATGTTGTTCAAATCATTAGATTTTTTGTGTTCAGTCATCGGTATTTATGCAGGGAATATTGCAGGCTTATAGTAACTCTCTTGTTAAGTGGGTGTATTGAACTATTGACAACATGATGCCTGGGTGAGCTTCTGGACCTTCATAGTTGTATTGTAGAATTACTGCATTTGCTATCTGTCCTCTGAAAACGAAGCTTATGGAACTCTCTCAAGACAACGGAAAGCTAAACTAAATGTAACGTTTTAGTTAAGACTATTGTCTCCACTAAAATAATCATTTTTACACTTTGTTATGTCACCTCTATTTGTCCATAAACTTTGAACACCGTGGCTTGATGCACTGCAATGATATACCTTCTTGGCCTTTTCCCCAGAACGTACCAACTCGCCACAAGGCCCCTTTTGATTCTGACCCCTTCATGTGTTGGTTGTTTTACGCCACACTCAGCAATATTCCAGCTATGTGATGGCGGTCTGAAAACAGTAGAGAATTGGGTCGTGGGGTTTACATGCAATGAAACAAGTTCCCAAAAGAACTCCATATCCTATGATATGTGTTTGTTGGTTGTTTTACGCCAAACTCAGCAATATTCCAGCTATGTGATGGCGGTCTGTAAACAGTAGAGTATTGGGTCGTGGGGTTTACATGCATCAAGCAAGTCACCGAGTCTGACCACACGCTAACTGCATGAGATGACTTAATGGGGATGACGTGGTTAAGCTGTGTGTCTGCACCTGTGTCTTTGCTCATGCTATCTACCTCTACTATAAGAATAGTGAATGAGTGAGTTGGGTTTAACGCCGCTTTTAACAGTATTCCAGTTGTATCACGGCGTGTCAGCTTAATTTGAGTGATTTAGGTCTCAGACGTTTACCATTTCGGTGAAAACTATAAGAATAAGATATTGTAGGCAGTCATATTGTATGCAGACAGTGTAGGAAACATCCTCTCACTTCTTTCAGATACACAATTTATAAAAATATGTGTCCAAGACAACACTGATTCATTTTACTTGTTAAACAGTTTATTTCCATGCTATCTTCTTGAAAATATAGATTATATGTCTCATAACAGAACATGTTACCATCAACAAAGTACAGACAGTAATTCTAAATTGCACTACAGCTTTTAAACAAACGACTGTCAACGTTTGGGGAAAAGATGCAAATATATGAACATCGATCAAAGGGGTCTTGTCATATGAGTGAGTGAGTTAGTATGGTTTTACGCCGCTTTTAGCAATTTTCCAGCAATATCACAGCGGGGGACACCAGAAATCGGCTTCTCACATTGTACCCATGTCGGGAATTGAACCCGGGTCAGACAAGATTCCTAGGTTTGCATTGTTGGCAGGAATACTCCCCCCAGCCACTGACTGATGACTGAGTGATTGAGTTAGGCTTGTGGACAGGAAATCAAGCAGCCAGAGAAATTTGGGGTTTTTTTCAAGGCAAGTCCAAACTAGTTTAAACCGTATTTCACTATTGAACAAGACAAGCTTGTTTACTATATGTACATATTCTGTAGGTTTTATTTAGTTCCAATTTCTACCAAAATTGAAGCATCAAGTACTGGTTCAGAATTATATCCCTCAAATGCCACTAGTCAATGATGACTACCATCAATGGATTTTCAGGATCAGAATCTTTCTATCTCACAACCTGCTGATCCTTTTAGTTGCAAGGGCTGCAACTCTACACAAAAAGTCAAGTACACATCTTTCATATTGAGTCAGAAACCAGGCCTCACAAATGCTGTTTAAGATATCCCACACAGGGTATATATCAGTAACATATCACAACAAGACTAAGCACATCCAAACATTGCAGGAGCTAACCCTCGAATCACCCAGGAATTGGAGAATCTTGAAGAAGGGTACAAGTCAGATCCTGAAGAGGAATGGCAAAATAAATACAATAGTCATAAGTTAGAGCCCTTAAGGCAAGACACCAACAAGGTGCTCCCTTTCACCAACACGGTGGGGTTATATATACAGGACTTGCATCACTGGCAGGTCTCTAATCTGTTATAACTTGTTTCCATCATTTACATTCACATATTCCATCATATCAAGAGATGCTGTTTTGTTATTCTTGTGGTTCACTGTTGTTTCCCCTTTACCATACACCTGGAAAATAGTTAAGCATCAGTATTTAAAAAAAACACGAAAAAGACCCAAAATCCTAACCTGTAGTAAGTTTGGGATGAAACTTTTGTTTTGTTTACAAATAGATACTCACACACAAATACAGAAACCAAATCAGAATAAAACAGCATTTATTGTACTATTCCATGTAAGTTATTTGACCACCCTCATAACAACTTCATCTTCAATTGCCTCCTTGCATCGTCTGATATGATTCAGTTTATTTGACCACCTGGACAAACATAGAGTGTCCTGGAACCAACTTATCAGCAGGTGGCGGTGGTGTTTTAGACATTTAGCGACAGATGATGAATGTCATGTGTGGACGTTTCCAAAAGACACCCGGAAGTTTGAAATGTAGAAAACAAAGGAAGGGACAGAGCTTAACATTTCTCCAGGTGCATCCTTCACCTCTTGGTTATCCTTTACAATCCCAAGGGTCAGTGAACATTTATCAGGGCAGCACTCCACTGATCTGAGAACCCACCAAAGATCTTTGGCCTATAATGGATCGGAGTGATGCTTCTATATACAGCTTTTATTTACATCAGCTATGTACATCATGAATAATGAAGGTATGTATGTATATCTGACAATAACCGGTTAGCAAACTACTTACATACCAAGCTCATTCTAAAGTATTTAGAATCTTATCACAGAACTATTTTGGAAGATTACAATTCAAACATAATGTACATGAAATATCTACTCCAATAATCAGAAACAAATATGTTGTCTCACCATGTTTTTGTTTTGTATTGCTATCAGCAATCTGAATTTGTAAGGCATTTGCTGCCAATTGAAATACAAAAATATGGTCTTGCCTTCTTCAACTCTTTAGGTACCCGGATTCACCTTATTAAGCCCCCAACTGCTGGACCAATCCAAGTGAAATATTCATAAGCCTCATAAGCTAGAAAGTGCACATGACAGTCCAACCGGCTTCAGTAGATGGCCCAACTGCTAGACCAATCCATGAGAAATATTCATAAGCGCCTAAGCCAGAATGTTTACATGAGAGTCCGTATTTTCTTGCCTATAATGCCCCTTTGTTCATAGATACAACAGCTGTGTGAAAGGAGGTGCATATACACCCAGAGATCGTGTTTTGATTCTTTTTTCCCAAAAGTGAACACAATACATTTGGCATGTTAACATTGGGTAGATTGACTTTCATATTGTTTTCAAACTTGACATCCAAACTTTCAGGATATCATTTTGAAAACGCTTGCTGATCCCAAATGTACTGTACATTTTCTAAAAAACACAATCTTTTGTGGTGAAGACTGAGCACACAATTTCACCAAAATATCCCCCCAAATATTCCTCATCTCTCACTTATTTTAGTTTTTGTTCAGTATGTTATCTTAACATATTTGACTCTTCAAAACTGGCAGCTTCAGAGACTACAAGTTCATCTATAAAGTAAATTCTAAGATGAGATTCCAAACGAGCTGTTTGACCTCAATACAAACCACCAGTTACTAACCACAAGACATGAAGTTTCACTGAGCCCTTCAGAATACTTGTGTTTCCAGTAAAGTGATCTAAAAGATATCAGATGGTACATATGTATGGTATGTAAACAAAATAAAAACAACTTTAACCATTAAAGACAAGGTAGGATAGGGGTCAGTTTGGCCTACATTATCGGCATGATTAAAGAAATCATGTTGAACGTTATCAGATGTGCTCTGAATAAGACTTTGTTTATTTCAACATTAAATGAGTATGTAAGGCAAAAATGTGTCAAAGGGTTTTGTAATATTTGAACATGAGAAAGTCTTTGACCCATGAAGATATTCTTAGATGTGGATTAAGACGGTACAAAAATATGGAAAGAAAATTCCTCTTGGGTCACAGACCTGTTCATACTGTTCCCTAAAGTTTTATAAGAATGTATATGGTAGTTTTTAAGTTATAGGTTGCACACAATAATGTCCTCAGAATTAAAAAAAATTAAAAATAGTGGTATTTTTTCAGAAAATCCAAATATTGAAAACAAACTTCGCATTACACCTTTCCTATTGGTATAGAAAGTCTTTTCCAAGTTTAAAAAGTTTTGAAACTGCAGTAGTTTTCAAGTTATAAGTCGCACACAAAAATGTCCCTGGAAGGCCGGAAGGACAGATGGAATTCCTTGGTATAATTATATACCCCAGCCCTTTTAGGTCAGGGGTATAACTAAACCAAACTCACTCCTATTTCAGTAATATCACAGTGTGTCAGTTTGATTTGGCAGGTTATGGTGCAGGTGATGAGGGATGCTGATAGTTCAAGGATTATGTCTGTAGCATATCTGGGATTTCAAAATTAACTCTCATCGGATTCGGGAATTTCTACAAAGGGACACTACTCTGGATGTGTGGTTCTCCTGTGCCCCATGGGGGGCTGACGCACAAGTATTTGTTCTGAGGCCTTGATCTGAAATCTAGACTCAAACTATTTCACCCATAGATAATGGCAATGATTATTTCAGATAATGAAAGAATCTTCTACAGAACATTTTGGCTTTAGTGATTTTGATGTGAAGAAATTACACAAAATGACTTGATAACAAATCCGTAACAGTCAGTACTCAGGTAATCCCTTTACACAAAGATGGTGTTAAATGAGAATCTCTGAAGAACTACGCATGGCTTTTTGGACCAACAATTTAATAGTTTTCGAGGGGGCAGGGATGCTTGTTTATATTGTTTATTCATATTTTTTGCTCATGTCATTCCATGTTTACTGATGATGTTTGTTCATGTTGTTTCTTCATGATGTATTAGTTGTCTGTTCATGTTTGTTCATGCTGTTTCTTCATGTTTTAGTTATTTGTTCATGCTGTTTTAGTTGTCAGTTCATGTTTGTTCATGTTGTTTCTTAATGTTGTAGTTATTTGTTCATGCTGTTTCTTCATGATGCTGTAGTTGTTTCTTCATGTTTGTGCATGTTGTTTCTTCATGTTTGTTCATGTTGTTTCTTCATGTTTTAGTTGTCTGTTCATGCTGTTTCTTCATGTTTTAGTTGTCTGTTCATGCTGTTTCTTCATGTTTTAGTTGTCTGTTAATGCTGTTTTAGTTGTCAGTTCATGTTTGTTCATGCTGTTTCTTCATGTTTTAGTTATTTGTTCATGCTGTTTTAGTTGTCAGTTCATGTTTGTTCATGTTGTTTCTTAATGTTGTAGTTATTTGTTCATGCTGTTTCTTCATGATGCTGTAGTTGTCTGTTCATGCTGTTTTAGTTGTCTGTTCATGCTGTTTCTTTATGTTTTAGTTGTCTGTTTATGTTTGTTCATGCTGTTTCTTCATGTTTTAGTTGTTTGTTCATGCTGTTTCTTCATGTTTTAGTTGTTTGTTCATGTTTGTTCATGATGTTTAAGTTGTCTGTTCATGTTTGTTCATGTTTTTATTCACATTGTTCGAGACAGAATATTTTTTTTATCACTGCTTATCAAATGACTGGCCCATTACACTCTCTTGCCCGAAATTGCCTTTGAAAGCATCAAAGGCTTTCTTGAAACACAAAGTGTTCAAAGCATTGACATATCAACAACAAGTAGCAAATAATACCAGTAATATCCGCTCAAGACAAACAAAATCTTCGGACTCCCACAATACTACAAACTGTTAAAGTCAATTTTTTAAAAGTCATTGTTTGAAGGTAATTTAAGTGTCTGTCTTTATCACTAAGATCACTATAGTTAGCAACTGTACACAGCACAGGACACAAGCATCTCATCTGCGACCAGTCTTGTTGGTCTTGGTTGGCACTCTGGACTTGGGTGCAGGTAATCTGGATTGTGCTGAAAGAGAAGACTGAGATTAGACCAGCGATCAATAGTTACGTAAAGACTGAATGTCACGTTAGTCAGTAATAAGACGGAAATATCCCAATGTTATCCAGTCTGAACCAGACAGACCAGTGATTGATGGTCAGATTGCAGATTAATATATGTCAAGAGTTAAAAGCCAAAACACATATGAACTGCAGTGTTTGGGGGCATGCCCCCCAAAGAAAATTTGTTAAATGTGGACCTGAAATGGTGAACTTTAGGCTATTCTGAGCATAAATAAGTGTGTGGTTAAAATCTTTAAGTCTCAGTTTTTATGTGTGTACACAAAACATCTTTGAAATCTTCATAGATTAGCCACTTGACTCTTTCAACACCAGTCAACCAGGAGCTTTATCTGCTGTGACACCAAGTTACCAGAGACTCTTGTGTGATAGATTGAGCCAACATTTATCAAGGAAAATATCTGCTTGTAAGACATTAGTCCTGCACCATGACTGTGGAATATATATATTTTGTGAAAACAACACCAATCTAGAAACGTATACAAAAGCAAGTCAAGCCAGCTCTAGCTAGGAAATCAGCAAAGGGGAAATTATATATATTTATTTTTAGAGTCGAGAAGGGTATTGGGTAATATAAGATTTCATAGACTAAATGTTAGTCTAGTAAAACATCTTTGCAACTACATGTTATACAGCATTTGAAAGGTCTAATCCTACTGTTTATACATATTTATGTTTATCACATTATTTAAATAAAGCATTTACAACTTAAGTAAGTTGTAAATAAATACAAATGTAAGCTAACATATTCCAACGTCCAGATTGAGGACCAAGGAAGGGTAAATTTGACGATTTTTGTCAAATATAAACAAACATAAAATCCACTTACCTATTTCTTTTTTATTTTCATTGTTTACCTGATCGGAAAAGTATTTTATAAATAATTGTAAATAGTATCTGTCATCACCAATTTCTCGATACCTGCGGCTGTCAGTAACATGAAGAAATACGTCCGTTTTCGAAGCTTCGTATTAGATAGTTTATTTTTTCATCTACACTAACCTCGCCAAGTCTTTTCGTCGCTGTAAGTTTGTCCCATGCTTTCTTGCCTATATCTGCTATGAGGGTGGTGATTGGTCAAACTAGAGTACATGACCTAAGGCTGTAAATCAAATTACAGCAATGGCACGTGTGTAATCAAAGTTTTTTGTTATTCTGAACGTTTCAAGCAGGAAACTCACGATCTATATTAAAAACATGGAACTTCGTGGGTTTATCGTTCTAGGTTAGGAGCTGTGACAAAGGTTTTTCAGGCATATTGGAAACATCGTATCCGAGCAGAGAAATCGAGGCGACGAAAGCCGAGATGTCATTTGATTTACATTATACGCGATCGCACGAAAAGATTGAAATAATAACTTAGCTGTAATTTCGACAACTTATAGATATATTTTGGTTCATGTTATTTATTACTTTGTATACTAGATTTAAAGATTTGCTTGAAACGTCTTTGTTTTGCTCTTTGACATGTTTGATGTGGACCGTTGTCGAAGTGTGTGTCCAAGAATTTTATTTTCAATAACATCGCGGGAAATAGTGAATCATTTAATCTTTTGATAAAAAATGATAAATTGAAATGGAATACGTATTTCAGACATTGTGAAATGTGATTGATTTAATAAATGAATGATATGACAGGTAGGTTCATAAAATTATAAAGATCTACCCTTTATTTTGACATGACTACGACATGGCTGGTCTACCGCCCTACGGTGTTGAAAGAGTATATTGGCTCTTCAAGCAAACTTTCTTGAAATCTATTTTTCTTTTGACAAAGTTTCGGGGATGCCATTTGGACTTTAGTCCTTGACATTGACAAAATACTGTTTACAAGATCTGCGATTGGCTTACGTTTCTATTTCCGTTTTGTAAACCAATCAGAGATGCCATTACGGACACGACATGGAAGAGAAACGTCATCGGATACCTCTCAGTTTCCCGCGTTCCCGCCGAAATCTGGATTGCACCGGAACCAGCGAATATTGTATACACATTATCACATAGGTTTTGGGAGCGAGAGAAACACGAAACAAAACAACAATAAGTTATGCGTGAAGTGAACTTTTTTCAAAATAAAATACGTGTAAGGGGACGCGTGAAGGTTGTTTTTTTTGCGTCCTATTTTTTTTCAGTGCGTACACTGAACTGCATTGCTCTATCTGACGTCATCACATTCTGTATTTATTCAAGTAACCCAAATCTTATACAATTACGATACGTTCTTGCCATCCTGACACAAGAAACATTTTAATTGTTATCTCCCAATGATGTACAATGCAACTTTCATGTATTTAAGACTGTAAGTGAATCACATTCTGTAAACAGAGGCTTCTGTTTACATGGTACAAGAAAGCAGCCCACCACCTCCCTGGTATTGAGAGCTAGCAGTCTGTGGGGCTTCTGTTTACATGGTACAAGGAAGCCACCCACCATCTACCTGGTATAGGGAGCTAGTAGTCTGTAGGGCTTCTGTTTACATGGTACAGGGTACCAGCCCACCACCTACCTGGTTGTTTATTGAGAGCTAGCAGTCTGGGAGGTTCTGTTTACATGGTACAGGGGACCAGCCCACCACCTACCTGGTTGTTTATCAAGAGCTAGCAGTCTGTTGGGCTTCTGTTTACACGGTACAGTACAGGGGACCAGCCCACCACCTACCTGGTTGTTTATTGAGAGCTAGCAGTCTGTGGGGCTTCTGTTTACACGGTACAGTACAGGGGACCAGCCCACCACCTACCTGGGTGTTTATTGAGAGCTAGCAGTCTGTGGGGCTTCTGTTTACACGGTAAAGTACAGGGGACCAGCCCACCATCTACCTGGTTGTTTATTGAGAGCTAGCAGTCTGTGGGGCTTCTGTTTACACGGTACAGTACAGGGGACCAGCCCACCACCTACCTGGTTGTTTATTGAGAGCTAGCAGTCGGGGAGGTTCTGTTTACATGGTACAGGGGACCAGCCCACCACCTACCTGGTTGTTTATTGAGAGCTAGCAGTCTGTGGGGCTTCTGTTTACATGGTACAGTACAGGGGACCAGCCCACCACCTACCTGGTTGTTTATTGAGAGCTAGCAGTCTGTGGGGCTTCTGTTTACACGGTAAAGTACAGGGGACCAGCCCACCACCTACCTGGTTGTTTATTGAGAGCGAGCAGTCTGCGGGACTTCTTATTACACGGTACAGGGGACCAGCCCACCACCTACCTGGTTGTTTATTGAGAGCTAGCAGTCCGCGGGTGTTCTGTTTACACGTTACAGGGGACCAGCCCACCCCCTACTTGGTAGTAAGAGTTTGCAGTCTGTATGGATGCTATTTACTCGGAACAGGGGACCAGCTTACCTGGTTGTTTATTGAGAGCTAGCAGTCTGCGGGGGTTCTGTTTACAGCCGCTCTGCCCCATCAAATGTTCTTTCCATCCATCTTCTCCGTTGGAAATGTCCTGGTGGCACAGTGGACAGTGGTTCATTGCTGCCTTAGCGGCTGGAACATGAACAAAGTGAGTCAGTGAGTAATGTGAGTCACTGGTGACTTAGCAGCTGGAACAATATGAGTCAGTGAGTGAATAAGAGTCACGGTTGACTGCATCAACAATGTGAGTCAGTGTTGACTGCAACATCAACAATGTGAGTCAGTGAGTGAATGTGAGTCACTGTTGACTGCAACATCAACAATGTGAGTGACTGGTGACAGTAACATCAACAATGTGAGTCAGTGAGTGAATGTGAGTCACTGTTGACTGCAACATCAACAATGTGTGTCACTGAGTGAATGTGAGTCACTGGTGACACAGCAGCTGCAACAAGAACAAAATTAGTCAGTAAGTGAACATTATGCAGCTATATTGCAGCTTTATACAGTCTTGACAGGCTCCTGACTGATTCTGAGTTAACACAGTGTGGGTACAATTCCAAAGTCAGCCAGATTGCGGTGTAACCAGTACATCCAAAAATTAGGCAAGTCTATTTCAGGGCATTTTATGAAAGTGTAAGGCCTTTTGCTCTATCATTATATCAAGGTTAAAGCCTTTTCAAGAGATTTTAGCAATGTGTAAGGCCCCTTAAAAGAAAGTTTAATGCTGTTTCAGGGCATTTTGTCAAAGTGTAAGGCCTTATCAAGGCATTTTGCTGGAATTCTATCAAGGTTAAATGAGTGAGTACGGTTTTACGCCACTTTTAGCAATATTCCAGCACTATCACAGTGGGGGACACCACAAATGGGCTTCACATATTGTACCCATGTCGGGATCGAACCTGGGTCTTCGGCATGACGAGCAAACATTTTAACCAATTGGCTACCCGACCACCCCTTATCAAGGTTAAGACCTTTGCAAGGCTTTTTAAAAAGTGTAAGGGCTGTTCAATGCAGAATACTCAATACTCAAGATTGGCTGACAAATTGAAGACCTTTCAAGTCTGTGAGAACCGTTGAAAAGAAGTTGAAAATAAATGAACAAGCAGATGATGGACAATACATGGACTGGACACATTGTACTGATGTGGGGCGTCAAACCAGGTCTTCAGCTTGACCATCCAACACTTTAACTATGAAGGTACCCTACCATGATTCAAGGTCTGAGAATCAATAATTATTCCTAACAATTAATGGATAATGGGATCTAAGCATTAGGTTTTAGTTCAGTTGGATGTTTACTCACGATTGCAAGCTTTCTCTTGGACATGTTGATCATATTCTTCCTTGAGTATAGCTTCGGAGCAGCGTGGACACTTGGAGAACATCGCCTTGGACTCGCACTCACTCAACAGGTGGTCAGTCAGACTGGCGATCTCCACAACCTGTAATCACGTGATCATTCTGCTCAAGGTTTGCAAGATTCTAGGATTGTTTTCTAAAAGCAAGACAAGGACGAGTACGTCTATCTTTGGGATCAGGAGTATCAACCATCGAGAACTCTGAGATCTTGCACTCAACATCTACTCTTCGTTCCTGGATTGCGAACCATAAATTTTAGGGATCACTGTTTTGCAAGAGCGGCTCTTTTGCTATTGCCTGTAATTTGTGATGAACCTAATAAAAATGGACCCATACATCAGACTGCCCCCTCACAGTTGTCCACCATTTTGTTTGATGTTGCTATGGTCAGGCTTGATACACACATTATATACAGGAAGCTGAATTTCATAATTTCAATACGATTTGTTACTTATCTAAACTTTGCCATGAAGATGAAACTATGCAAGATTTGAAAAATGCAACATACCAGTATTTTCCAAACACCCTGCGAAACACATTCATTAGAATTTCAACTATACCTGCATCCAGTAAGATGTAAGATAATTTGCATGAGTGATAGAGCCAACATGGAGACGGTCATATCAAAGAGGGGGTAATAACAAAACCTGTATCATGTCCCCTGCCGGGCTGATATGGCTTGTCATGCATTTTGGAGGAGTGTCGATATCAGCCTGGGTGGTAAGAAATTAAAGTTACATGATCCCTTGGTGCAACCTCTGCTCGGCTAGCTTTCAGGTGACAATGTCTTCCAAACAAGGTAAACATGTTTTTAGGGACAGCCACAGAATTTAGAGATCTTTTCTGAATGGATACATTTTCCAATTTGATGTTATGGTATATGTATTCACTATGGGCTAAATACAGTAACAATAAAAATTTGAAGATGAAGGCTGTGCATGTGAAAGTGGTGGCGTCACATGCTAAAGGTGCAGAGGAGAGGGCAAGGTGTATGAAACACCACTCAAGGCCTTTGTGTCCAACAGGTGAGCTGTCTTTGTCATATATAAAATATATACATATAAACATAATCATATTTTTGGTGTAATGCTCGTCTGTGTTGGACTGCCTGTTAATGCAGTGTTGCCGAATGGCAAGTAAAACCTTATGGAAAATTGACGCAGTTCATAAAGTGCTGTTTAGCACGGAGAAGGGTATTGCTTTCTTTCAGTGAGTGATCCCCTAGAGAGGTGATTCAGGAATCTGGACATGGATTTGGATACACAAGAAGACCCAGCTTCCAGATAAGCTATCTTTATATTTTCAAAAAGTAGATTTCGCAGTAATTTTTCAAATTAATAGTTCAAGCGTAATACAACAAGGATATTGCACTATTATTTCGTAACGATTTAATGTGCCAAAAATATTAAAACATACCTTTTTGTTATAGAAAGAATACCATAGAAAATACGGAGTGTCAGTGTTTGACCGACATTACAGTTGCGTGTTTACATGTATGATTCTGTAAATAAACCCGCTCGCCTGTCAACAGCGGTAGGCATTACCCATGAGTGGAGTATGTTGTCATAGTAAATGTTTTATGTTCATTTGAACATAGTGAATTAGAACATAAATGATAAAAGGGTTATTTGGGGGAAGTTTGGCCCTCAGGCTGACATGACGGTTTGGTTGATATGGGCCAGGGTATGACATGAAAACTGCCATAATAATAACCTCCAATTAGCCACCACCCTAGAAACAAACATCAGCAACCCAAACAGCCCTGTGAGGTATTTTGTCTACTTTTATATTGTATACTTCCACTTACCTGTTTACAGTTGGCACATCTCTTCAACATGGGACAGTTCTTCCAGTAATGAAGGTCCAAGCCCTCGTCATTGAAGCCTTCGTTCCTCTCACCACAGAATATACACACCCTAGAAAATAATAATACTCATATCCTGATTGTTTGCTTGTTTGATGTTTAACACTGCCCTCAGCAATAGTCCAGCTGTACGACTGCGTTCCAGTGACTGACATTATAAGCACGAACAACATACATGAGATACGATGACAAGCAACAACCAAGTCAGCAAATCTGACCACTCGATCGCCTCTAAGGACAAGCATGGTTTGCTGAAGACCAATTCTAACCCAGAGGTCTCATATCATAACATTGTCATCTTTATCATCGGTCAACTGTTGCTGAGCAACCATTCAAGGGATGGAGCCAAGAATGTCTTCATTCACAGTAAAATGAAGTGAGTGAGTGAGTTGGGTTTAACGCTGCTTTTAACAGTATTCCAGTTATATCGTGGCGTGTCAAGCTTAATGTGGAAGGAAAGCCCGAAGAGATGCAGGTCTCAGACGTTTACCACTTCGGTGAAACCCACTAGCTCGGGTATGGTGCTGACAAACCTAGAAACATAATTGGGGCGAACCGGGATTCGAACCCACAATCATCGGTTTCTGGCGTGCCCAACGGACGCAACTCTGCACAGCCAATTGTGGCGCCTTAGATGACTGGGCCACCCGTGCTCCCCAGTAAAATGTAACTCCTTCAGTTCAGTTGAAGACAATAATACATTAATGACCTGGTACAACCGTCATGGTTTAATTAGGACACTGTAAATTACATTTATGTCAAACACATACTTCCAGTCACGCCCAGACTTTCAAGATGACATGCTTTAACCACAAACTCATTATACTTCCAGTCACGCCCAGACTTTCAAGATGACATGCTTTAACCAGCTATCTTCAAAGTAACTCATAAACCTTATTCCATAATAGACTTTACATAATGTCAGTGTTGATTGTACAATAGTAATGAATATCTATGTTTATTATATTAAGTGTAGTTTTCTGCCAGAAGTGTCACGTGTCATATGACAGAAATGCATATTGAGTCCCAGTAGGTCGGATAAATTACTGCATTGACGTGGGTTACTAAAAATTGAAAGGGAATTACCCAGAAGTGGTAAATCCCCAAACCTTTGTTGGAACCTACCTCCTAACAGTATTGAGTGAGTGAGTGAGTGAGTTGGGTTTAACTCCGCTTTTAACAGTATTCCAGTTACATCGCGGCGTGTCAGCTTAATGTGGGAGGAAAGCCCGAAGTGATGCAGGTCTCAGACGTTTACCACTTCGGTGAAACCCACGAGCACGGGTATGGTGCTGACAAACCTCGAAACATAATCGGGGCGAACCGGGATTCGAACCAACAATCATAGGTTTCTGGCCTGTTACAAACAGTATTGAAGCTGACATAGTTTAATATGTTGAATCTACTTTTGACTCCTTATCGTACATCATGAACCTCCAGTGACATCATCCTATTGTTCTGCAGTCAGGTTAACTCTTATCAGGGGTCTTATCATATCCCTGGGATTTTAAATAATATCCCACAAATATTTGCTCTAAAATATGTAATAATATACCCAGGATTTTACATAATATAAAGCATAAACTCACTCACTCACTCATAAAATATCTCGGGATTTTATTAATACAACCTCTGTTTATATTGTAACACATGAATATTTCTCTCTTGAAATTTATTTTGCATTTGAACACGATGTAATGAAATGTAAAATCAAATGACAAATGTTTTCTTTATTATGGATAAAGATCGAAAATGGATTGAAAATGCAGCCATCGTGTCTGCAGCCCGGTGAGTGTACCACTAGGCTAGAGGCACAAATAAACCACAATGCTCTTAAGAATGTCTCTTTCAAGAACCGTACGCCAGCAACAGATATTATATGCCCGTTTCATCAGGTTCATGGAAAGTATGTTTGAAACATAAAAATGTTGATAAATAGTGTTTCAAGTTTCTTTTTTTTAGTTTAATATGACATCAACACTTGTCTTTGTGGACCCAAAATTCATAAAAAGTCTACTATTGCATATTGAAACTGATATTCAACAAAATGTAAGACAGAACCATCAGCGTTCATGTCAGTAGTTCTGTATCCTGTTCCTGAGAAGATTTTAAAAAAACTTTCAAAGTGTAAATTTGTAAAGTGTTATCAAATCAGAAGACTCATAAACAAATTTATAGCGGGTAAGGTTGTTTTCGGAGTACTAAGGCAGCATCAAGCACACAACACTCAAGCTCTGGTGATATCACCGTTGGTTTCTTTCATGAACTATGTAATTTGATTGGTCAACTTTTTTTAGTTTCATATCATTAGAACCACATTCAAAACAAAGGTAAGGTGGCAAATGGGTCCAAGAATAGATCCAGATTTTACTTGACTTACAAAACACCCGATCCACAGGACCCCTTAATTATTTCAAGGGTCCTGAAAGGATACATATGGGGTCCTGTCTGTAAAGTAATGACATGGTGTTGTGTAGTGTGCCGTAACATTTGACAAATGATCTTGTCGCATAAAGCCCTTAATATATCATAATACAATGGAGCTAATACAATGGACAATCGAGGATCTCTTTTCCACTGAAAGGAAATATTTCCTTTTTTTAAATTACAAAATAATGGGGAGTTGGCCATCCCTGCTGTGAAAACCTAGAATGTACTCACTTTTCCATGTTGGCAATAGACATGTTGTCCTCCTCTGACGTCTTGGCTAGCACCTTAGACTTGGGTTTTCCTTTTGACTGCAACACAACATGTAAGTAAAGGATCATCGTGATCAACAACTTCTTTTTTACAATTAGGAGCGACCTTTCGGTGTGGTCTATGACAATGTTGTTTTTTTCGAAACAAAGAATCAACAGATCGAGAAAAACAGTCAAGGCGTCATGTTTATTCACTTTGGGTAATCTTTTGAATGGTATTATTATGTGTGTAGTTATAAACACGTTACATTTCAAAGAGTGAAAATTCTCAAGAACTTGGATACGTTCTCCTTTGTCAACACAAATAATGCCGGTGTCATGCAAGGGACAGGAATTGATTGAAATCTGTTCAGAATACCTTCTGCATTTCAAAAGGTAGAGTTTTAATGACTGAAATACGCTTTATATTTGACAGTAATGTCTTTTCAGTTACAGTTGAAATGGTTCGTCCTATGTGAATAGGACGAAATGTTAGTGTAATCCACCAGTCAGCTAGAACGCACATAAAAAACACCTGAACCTCATTTACATTCATTCAGATGGTCTCTCCTATAAGAGACAAGCTAAATATATACGAGGGCCATTCAATATATAACCAGCCTAAGCTTTTTATCAGATCTTAACAGTTGCATGCTTGTCACGTACTGTGCACCATTGTATGTCACGTGCATAGACAAAGTATCACTGAGGAAATTGTATTTGAAGTCACACACGTGATCTATAAAGATGGCAAGGGTAGATTCTGCCAAATTTTCGTCAAAGGTTGAATACAGGGCTGTTATTAGGTACCTCTACTAAAGGGAAACCAGGAAAGGAGATAAATGATGAATTGTCAGATGTTTATGGTGACAGTGCACCTTCGTATGCACAGGTCAAATTCTGGGTTGCAGAATTTAAGAGGGGTCGGGTGAACCTGGAAGATGAGCCACACCCTGGCAGGCCTGGAGAGGTGACCAATGACCAAACCAGTGAAGCTGTGAGACAACTGGTTGTCAAAGACAGGCGAATGAAGGTGTCAGAAATGGCCAAGGCCTTGGACATTTCAGAGGGAAGTGTCCATACCATTTTGCATGATCGTCTGGGTATGAGGAAGCTGTCTGCCCGATGGGTCCCGAAATGTCTGAGTGATGATCAGAAGGCTGTACGTGCGTCAAAGTGTCAGGCACTTTTGACGCAATGCAGTCGGGATGCAGACAACTTTATGGAGAGAATTGTTACTGGTGATGAAACCTGGGTACACCACTATGACCCAGAAACCAAAGAACAGAGTAAGCAGTGGACTGGCTTTGCTTCACCCCCTCCCAAAAAGTTTAAGACTCAACCATCGACTGGCAAAGTCATGGCAACCATCTTTTGGGATACCAAAGGGGTCTTGCTCATTGACTACTTGCCACGTGGCCAGACTATTACTGGAGAGTACTACTCCGATCTCCTGGACCGTTTGCGGACTGCTATTCTTGCCAAACGTCGTGGAAAGATCACAAAAGGTGTGCTGCTCCAACATGATAATGCCAAAGTGCACACCTGTGGACTTGCGGTTGCCGCAGTGAAGCGGAACGGGTTCAAAGTATTGCCTCATCCACCCTACTCACCAGACCTGGCACCAAGCTACTACTTTCTCTTCCCAAACTTGAAGAAAGAACTGCGTGGACGTCATTTCCGGTCCAATGATGAACTCATGACAGCAGTGGAGGGGTGGTTACACGAACAACCCCATGGTTTCTATCACAACGGGCTTTTAGCTCTCACACATCGCTGGACAAAGTGCATAGACCTCAATGGTGATAATGTGGAAAAAGAAGAAGTGAGCCGATCACATGATGAGCAGTAGCATATAGGTTAGGCTTGTTATATATTGAATGGCCCTCGTACACTGAGTGTGTATTTGTACATGATTATAGTAATAAAACCTAAAAACTGTGATGTACATCAAAGTATACACTCACGCTATGTTATCATACCTCCATATCAAAATGATGAGATCTGATTTGTTCAAGTGAATTAAATTTCTGAGCAGGAGAATAAATCCCTTATACCCCCCTTTGAAGCAAAAAGATTCACTCCCTTCAAAGAAGTAACACAACATGAGAAAGTAGTAGTGAGTGAGTGACCTGGGTTTAACGCCGCTTTTAACAGTATTCCAGTTATATTGTGGCATGTCAGCTTAATGGGGGAGGAAAGCCCAAAGTGATGCAGGTCTCAGATGGTCCCTACTTTGGTGAAACCCACGAGCACGGGTAAGGTGCTGACAAACCTAGAAACATAATCAGGAATTCGAACCCATCATCACTGGTTCCCTTTGTGCCCAAGGGACACAACTCTGCACAGAGAATTGCGGCACCTCGGACAACTGGGTCACCCCAATCCCCGACATAGATATGGAACACTTAATTGGATTAATGGCAGCCAAAGGACAGTTTTCCCAACATTTACTTTCGAAATTGAACTGCTATTGCTCCTGTGGCATGAAGCCATGAACAATTCAACATTCCAAGATTCACTTTTTGGCCTCATGAACCTTCATCAATACTTAACTGACTTGTACACACAACATCCCTGCATCTCCCGGGGAAAGTTGCAGCCCTCCAAGCTTAATTTTTGCTCAGGTAGCCACTGGCTCGAAGCAGTCTTATTTTAGATGCCTTTTAAAATGTAGGGCGTCGTCAGAAACATGATTTCAAACACTGCTTTTTACACAAAGAACTAACCAGCATCCTGGGTGATGGCGGAACAGTGTATACAAGTACTGACATTGAAACCCTTCTTTCTTTACCTTAGCAGGCCCCCCTGCTCCCTTCTTGGCACCTTTCACCATGGACTGGTCGATGGGCTGCAAGGACACTTATCATTAGCAACACTACAGAAATAAACCGCAAGTCAAACTCAATGTCAAAATCAATGTAGGAGACCTCTCTGATCTAATAAACACTCCACAGGTTTGCTTGTTTGTTGTTTGACACCACACTCAGCAATATTCCAGCTATATGACGGTCGCCTGCAAATAATCTCCTCTTGACCAGACAATCCTGTGATTGATATCATGAGCATTGATCCACTCAATTCAATTCATGCATCAACCAAGTCAGCGAGCCTGACCACCGAATCTTTTGGTCATCTCTTATGATAAGCATGGGTTGCTGAGGACTTATTCTACCACTAGCCACCATCAGCATATCGCCATTTGAACACTTCAACCACGAGGCTACCCCACCTCCCCCATAAAGTCGGTGAACAAACCACAAAGAGACAAACATAAACAGTGTCAATGTGCTGAGGAAGCGACCAAAGTTTCAGGACCAAAAGTGTGACAATCTCATTAAAATCAGATCTTAGTTCTCGCTGCCGCTAAACAAAGATCTGAGGACATCCCATTACGGGTCACGTCAGACCGACCTTTCGCGAACTCTGACCGACCAATGGAATTACTGAGAAGAAGTCGACATTAGCCAATCAGAAGGCAGCTTTCTCGTGCCTTACAGCACTAATTTCAAATTGGCGACTACGTTTCGAAACATATTTTGACAAATTCTCGCTTAAAAATCTGAAACCTGAACACAAGAACATTCTCAAATGGCTAATATATTGTCTAGATTGTATAGATTCAGTCGTTAAGCCCGTAACTATCGTTCGGAATACCCCATTTTAAAGTTTTCGAGGCTGCATGATGAGAAATCACATTCCGACTGTCACTTTCATGATCTGGTAAGCGACGCTCTGATTGGTCGGATGAAAGGTCTTTCTGACGTGACCCCTAATGGGATGTCCTCAGATCTCTGTTTAGCGGTAGCGAGAACTAAGATCTGATTTTAATGAGATTGAAAGTGTGATGGACACTGGTTCTGTTTTGAAGCCTCTTCAAACAATTTGATCATACGACTTTAAATGAGCCATTTCTCCAAGCTCCCCTCTGTTATTTCTTCAAGAACACATAGCAACAACTTTCCGTTTTTAATAATTTCAATCTCATTTCCAGTGTAGACAATGACAGATTACATAGCATTCCAACTGTATAATATGGGTTGAACATGCTCGTGAAGGCAACAAAGAATGAGATATGAGTGAGTGAGTGAGTGAGTATGGTTTTACGCCGCTTTTAGCAATATTCCAGCAATATCACGTCGGGGGACACCAGAAATGGGCTTCACACATTGTACCCATGTCGGGAATCGAACCCGGGTCTATGGCGTGACGAGTGAACACTTTAACCACTAGGCTACCCAACCGCCCCTGAACGAGATATGAACTATGTACATGGTGAGGGGAAGGTTTATGTAAGGCAACTGTTCTTTAAAATTGGTTTACGGATTCTGGCATTAAAAAAAAAGGATCCAAAATAATGCCTACAAAGCAATATTTTGTATTATTCCATTGAATTCAAAATTGGGAATTCACAGACATAATTAACACTGCACACATGGCAAAATATTTAAGAACAGAAAAACAAAAAAGTATCTGAAATGTCTTTTTTACTTATCTTTTCTCCTCTACTGACCTGAACTTGTCACAAAAATCCGCAAACCAAGAAAACCATAGTCTAGCCTTACAAGAAGGAATTGTGAGTGGACACAGATCATTACAGTGCAAGTATCATGACAACTCAACTCCTACTGAGGGAATTCACGGTTCGAAATAGCAAAAGTCCACTAGTCCGAGAGTAATGAAAATCTCAAAGTGACATTTCCTTGTGGACTACCACTTTTCAATTGATGGCAAATTGGTAGCACATCATTTTTGCAGTTTAGTGAAAATGAAAATGAATTTCTAACCTGGATATGCAGTAAAACAGTTTCATCGGTGAAAATATAAAAAATCATCCATATGTCCTGGAGTTTAAGTTGAACAATTGATCATATTTGCAATATCATTTTAGTAAATTTCAATTACTAATCATAACTTGCTTTGTTTCATGCACAGAGTTAGTTGGTTTGTTGTTTAAGGCCGCACTCAGCAATATTCCAGCTATATGAAGGCAGTCTGTAAATAATCAAGTCTTGACCAGACAATCCAGTGATTGACATCATGAGCATCAATCCACGCTATTGGGATACGATGACATGGATCAACCAAGTCAGTGAGCCTGACCACCCGATCCCGTTAGTCGCCTCTTATTACCAGCATAGTCGCCTTTTACGGCAAGCATGGGTTGGCTGAAGACCTCTTCTACCCCAGATCTTCACGGGTCTCATACACAGAATAATAACATGTTGTCACATAGAGTCATGGAGACAAAAAGTTGAAATCAGTAGTTTTCCTTGTTCAGCACAAAAAAAACATTTAAAAAAATATTAATATAACCTAACAGTCTATCTGTCCACAATAGAATGTTACCACTATTCCTGGCTTAAAAAACACTGAATCAGTGGGGACACAGCACAAGATGACGTGGACATCGTTTACCATTTATTTTTTACACATACAAGGAGTTTTCTATTCCCAGTAAAGGTTGAGCAGCATTTTTAACACAACACAACACTGTGGAAGGTGCGATCAAATTAATCACTTTTTCCTCAGCATTTTCCTGTGTCTGTAACTTCTTCTGCATGTTGCAATGGGAATGTCAATGAATGCAAAACAAGATGATAATATTTTTACACATCAGTGGCAGAAAAATCCAGAACAGATGAATCAATCATAATAAATGGACTTTTAAATGCAATGATAAATGACAATGAAACAAAATAGCATGACTACACAGACGGGAGAAGGTCATAAATGCAAACTGCAAAACATTGTTTGCTGTTTGATGCCATATTCCAGGAATATTCCAGCCTAATGATGGCAGTCTGAAAAAATATTGAGTCTGGACCAGGCAATCCAGTGATTGACATCATGAGCATTGAGCACCAGGGTACAATGACAGACAATCAACCAATGACAGACACCATCCAGTCCAAACAGTGGCCTCATATGACAAACACATATTACTGGGATTGTCTGGTCAGACAATCGACCAAGTCACCCACACCATCCAATCCATTCGGTGGCCTCATACGACAAACACATGTTTCTTGGAGTGGTTCAAACCTGAATCCTAATATGTGGCCAATATCAGCTTCATCCCAGGTTGCAAGACATGTAAATGTTATTTAGTAGTGAGAGACAGGATTTATCTAGGATCCTAAACTTAATGCCCATGGCAGGCAAACTGGGGAAAAATAAAATTATTCTGTTCATAATCAGAATATTTATTAGTATTACATATATTGGTATTAGTGGCAATACCACGCACCTCTAGCGGACACTCACCGCTTTTCCGGACGCCATGTCCTTCAGTTGCTGCAGCTGCTTCTGTAGGGCTTCGATCTCCGCGTGCTTCCTGGCCTCATCCTCAGCTCTCTGTTTCTGTAAGGCAACTCACTAGCTCTAGAAATGTTCAACACATATGTTTGTTGTTGAACTCAGCAATATTCCAGCTCCATGACAACGACCTGTAATTGAGCCAATCTGGACCAGACAATCCAGGGATCGATATTGTAAACAACGATCCACGCCGTCAGGGGACTAGGCAACACTTTCAACCAGGCCTTACTATCATGTTCATGATACCATGTTCCGACTAGGCAACACTTTCAACCAGGCCTTACTATCATGTTCATGATACCATGTTCCGTGTAGTAGGTCATTGGTATAACAGCCCTTTCATTGCGTCAAAACTGAAAATCTGTGACGAACTGCATTATAGTTTGGAGTATAATTGTTTATCACCTGGAATAATTTTGTTCTCACCAAGTTACCGTCCTACTTGTGCCAACTTTTACAGGCTTCATAGTCTGTTTGCAACCAGAATCACTGAGGTATTACTGTATATTGCCTGAACAAATTGATCAAATGCACATGATAAACTAAAATGTTATTTCGAAAAGGTGAATTATAATGAAGTTCCGCCAGTGGCTATTAAGAGCTATGTTCCCTCAATGGCCTCATGCGACCAGCACAGGTGACTGGGATTGTCTGATCAGACAATCAACCAAGTCATGGACACCATCAAGTCCATACAGTGGCCTCATACGACCAGCACAGGTGACTGGGATTGTCTGGTCAGGCAATCAACCAAGTCACGGACACCATCAAGTCCATACAGTGGCCTCATACGACCAGCACAGGTGACTGGGATTGTCTGGTCAGACAATCAACCAAGTCACGGACACCATCAAGTCCATACAGTGGCCTCATACGACCAGCACAGGTGACTGGGATTGTCTGGTCACACAATCAGCCAAGTCACGGACACCATCAAGTCTATACCATGCTATGCAGTGGCCTCATACGACCAGCACAGGTGACTGGGATTGTCTGGTCAGACAATCAACCAAGTCACAGACACCATCAAGTCCATACAGTGGCCTCATACGACCAGCACAGGTGACTGGGATTGTCTGGTCAGACAATCAGCCAAGTCACGGACACCATCAAGTCCATACAGTGGCCTCATACGACAAGCACAGGTGACTGGGATTGTCTGGTCAGGCAATCAACCAAGTCACGGACACCATCAAGTCCATACAGTGGCCTCATACGACCAGCACAGGTGACTAGGATTGTCTGGTCACACAATCAACCAAGTCACAGACACCATCTAGTCCATACAGTGGCCTCATACGACCAGCACAGGTGACTGGGATTGTCTGGTCAGGCAATCAACCAAGTCACGGACACCATCAAGTCCATACAGTGGCCTCATACGACCAGCACAGGTGACTGGGATTGTCTGGTCACACAATCAACCAAGTCACAGACACCATCTAGTCCATACAGTGGCCTCATACGACCAGCACAGGTGACTGGGATTGTCTGGTCAGGCAATCAACCAAGTCACGGACACCATCAAGTCTATACAGTGGCCCCCTGGGACCAGCACAGGTGACTGGGATTGTCTGGTCAGACAATCAGCCAAGTCACAGACACCATCAAGTCCATACAGTGGCCTCATACGACAAGCACAGGTGACTGGGATTGTCTGGTCAGGCAATCAACCAAGTCACGGACACCATCAAGTCCATACAGTGGCCTCATACGACCAGCACAGGTGACTGGGATTGTCTGGTCAGGCAATCAACCAAGTCACGGACACCATCTAGTCCATACAGTGGCCCCCTGGGACCAGCACAGGTGACTGGGATTGTCTGGTCAGACAATCAACCAAGTCACGGACACCATCAAGTCCATACAGTGGCCTCATACGACAAGCACAGGTGACTGGGATTGTCTGGTCAGATAATCAACCAAGTCACGGACACCATCTAGTCCATACAGTGGCCTCATACGACAAGCACAGGTGACTGGGATTGTCTGGTCAGACAATCAGCCAAGTCACGGACACCATCAAGTCCATACAGTGGCCTCATACGACAAGCACAGGTGACTGGGATTGTCTGGTCAGGCAATCAACCAAGTCACGGACACCATCAAGTCCATACAGTGGCCTCATACGACAAGCACAGGTGACTGGGATTGTCTGGTCACACAATCAACCAAGTCACGGACACCATCTAGTCCATACAGTGGCCTCATACGACAAGCACAGGTGACTGGGATTGTCTGGTCAGGCAATCAACCAAGTCACGGACACCATCTAGTCCATACAGTGGCCCCCTGGGACCAGCACAGGTGACTGGGATTGTCTGGTCACACAATCAACCAAGTCACAGACACCATCTAGTCCATACAGTGGCCTCATACGACAAGCACAGGTGACTGGGATTGTCTGGTCACACAATCAACCAAGTCACGGACACCATCTAGTCCATACAGTGGCCTCATACGACAAGCACAGGTGACTGGGATTGTCTGGTCAGGCAATCAACCAAGTCACGGACACCATCTAGTCCATACAGTGGCCTCATACGACAAGCACAGGTGACTGGGATTGTCTGGTCAGGCAATCAACCAAGTCACGGACACCATCTAGTCCATACAGTGGCCTCATACGACAAGCACAGGTGACTGGGATTGTCTGGTCAGGCAATCAACCAAGTCACGGACACCATCTAGTCCATACAGTGGCCTCATACGACAAGCACAGGTGACTGGGATTGTCTGGTCAGGCAATCAACCAAGTCACGGACATCATCTAGTCCATACAGTGGCCTCATACGACAAGCACAGGTGACTTGGATTGTCTGGTCAGACAATCAGCCAAGTCACGGACACCATCTAGTCCATACAGTGGCCTCATACGACAAGCACAGGTGACTGGGATTGTCTGGTCAGGCAATCAACCAAGTCACGGACACCATCTAGTCCATACAGTGGCCCCCTGGGACCAGCACAGGTGACTGGGATTGTCTGGTCAGGCAATCAACCAAGTCACGGACACCATCTAGTCCATACAGTGGCCTCATACGACAAGCACAGGTGACTGGGATTGTCTGGTCAGACAATCAACCAAGTCACAGACACCATCTAGTCCATACAGTGGCCTCATACGACAAGCACAGGTGACTGGGATTGTCTGGTCAGGCAATCAACCAAGTCACGGACATCATCTAGTCCATACAGTGGCCTCATACGACAAGCACAGGTGACTTGGATTGTCTGGTCAGACAATCAGCCAAGTCACGGACACCATCAAGTCCATACAGTGGCCTCATACGACAAGCACAGGTGACTGGGATTGTCTGGTCAGACAATCAACCAAGTCACGGACACCATCTAGTCCATACAGTGGCCTCATACGACAAGCACAGGTGACTGGGATTGTCTGGTCAGACAATCAACCAAGTCACAGACACCATCTAGTCCATACAGTGGCCTCATACGACGAGCACAGGTGACTGGGATTGTCTGGTCAGATAATCAACCAAGTCACGGACACCATCAAGTCCATACAGTGGCCTCATACGACAAGCACAGGTGACTGGGATTGTCTGGTCAGGCAATCAACCAAGTCACGGACACCATCTAGTCCATACAGTGGCCTCATACGACAAGCACAGGTGACTGGGATTGTCTGGTCAGGCAATCAACCAAGTCACGGACACCATCTAGTCCATACAGTGGCCTCATACGACAAGCACAGGTGACTGGGATTGTCTGGTCAGGCAATCAACCAAGTCACGGACACCATCTAGTCCATACAGTGGCCTCATACGACAAGCACAGGTGACTGGGATTGTCTGGTCAGACAATCAACCAAGTCACGGACACCATCAAGTCCATACAGTGGCCTCATACGACAAGCACAGGTGACTGGGATTGTCTGGTCAGGCAATCAACCAAGTCACAGACACCATCTAGTCCATACAGTGGCCTCATACGACAAGCACAGGTGACTGGGATTGTGTGGTCAGACAATCAACCAAGTCACAGACACCATCTAGTCCATACAGTGGCCTCATACGACAAGCACAGGTGACTGGGATTGTGTGGTCAGACAATCAACCAAGTCACAGACACCATCTAGTCCATACAGTGGCCTCATACGACAAGCACAGGTGACTGGGATTGTCTGGTCAGATAATCAACCAAGTCACGGACACCATCAAGTCCATACAGTGGCCTCATACGACAAGCACAGGTGACTGGGATTGTCTGGTCAGGCAATCAACCAAGTCACGGACACCATCTAGTCCATACAGTGGCCTCATACGACAAGCACAGGTGACTGGGATTGTCTGGTCAGGCAATCAACCAAGTCACGGACACCATCTAGTCCATACAGTGGCCTCATACGACAAGCACAGGTGACTGGGATTGTCTGGTCAGGCAATCAACCAAGTCACGGACACCATCTAGTCCATACAGTGGCCTCATACGACAAGCACAGGTGACTGGGATTGTCTGGTCAGACAATCAGCCAAGTCACGGACACCATCAAGTCCATACAGTGGCCTCATACGACAAGCACAGGTGACTGGGATTGTCTGGTCAGGCAATCAACCAAGTCAAGGACACCATCAAGTCCATACAGTGGCCTCATACGACAAGCACAGGTGACTGGGATTGTCTGGTCACACAATCAACCAAGTCACGGACACCATCTAGTCCATACAGTGGCCTCATACGACAAGCACAGGTGACTGGGATTGTCTGGTCAGGCAATCAACCAAGTCACGGACACCATCTAGTCCATACAGTGGCCCCCTGGGACCAGCACAGGTGACTGGGATTGTCTGATCAGACAATCAGCCAAGTCACGGACACCATCAAGTCCATACAGTGGCCTCATACGACAAGCACAGGTGACTGGGATTGTCTGGTCAGGCAATCAACCAAGTCACGGACACCATCTAGTCCATACAGTGGCCTCATACGACAAGCACAGGTGACTGGGATTGTCTGGTCAGACAATCAACCAAGTCATGGACACCATCAAGTCCATATAGTGGCCTCATACGACAAGC